AGACCTTGCCTTCCGGTGCCTTGTCAACCTGCGCCCCGAGGTCCAGCCAAAGCGTGAGTATCCTTGGCAGAGTCTGATACAAGTACTTGGTTCCCGAATTCAAGGACCGCACGTAATTCTCAATGACGAGCCTGGCGATCTCGCCCGTGACATAGTTGTCGCTCTGATCATCAACTTTCAGCGGCTGTTCTGATTCTAATATCTTCTTGTAATGGCGGCCGAGGTAATAGTGGCCCTTCTCCCATGTTGAGAACGTCTTGGGTGGCTGCTGATACTTTTCACGCAGGGCGCCTGCGTGCGTCTGGCCCGCTGCATCAAGCCATTTCGCCAGGAGAAGCTGTGCGCGGGCTGTGAGCAGCTTCTGCTGAGAGTTTAAGCTGCTGGCGGATCCCATACTGAGCGATGACCCTGATTTCGTCATAAACTTATTCTGCTCGATGGCTCCCTGGAGCATCTGGATTGCTTTGCGATGATGTGAATCTCTGAACAGCAGCTTTGCGTTCTCAATGGTAGCTGCATCATCCCCAAGCTGGGACGCATGCAGCACTGCATTGAACGACTGATGTAAGGAGTTTGTCTTCCGAGCCAGTCGAGAGCTGGCAAGCCACAACCCGGAGATGTCCAGGTCGGAGAATGTTGGTCTAAATAAGAGAATCATGTCAGTGACGGTGCCCTGAACCAAGCCGAGCGGCCAGACCTACCTCAACAGTTGCATAGCTGCCCTCTGAATTCCTAGCACGTACTGCCGATCGTTGAAATATGCTCCGATAACTTCGCACCGGCCTTCGAGAAGAGATATCGTCTTCGTACGCTCCTCCTCACTTTCCGGATGAGTTCCGAGAATGATCTCTAGATCCGTGAGGACATGACATTTCAACATTATGTCGTGCGCCGCTTGGAGCGACGCAGTCGTTGACGCGGTCATGGACAGAGCAATGTTCTCCTTGATCATCCTCGCCGTCTCCATAAAAGGTTGTTTTCTGTATAGAGATTCAAAGAGAACCCCTAAAGACATGTTAAAGTCCTGCAAAACGTTGCCCTGGAATCTGTGGATGAATCTGTCCAAGCTTTC